GTTCCTGCTCTGCCTCCCCCGCTGCAGCTGACGTGCTCATTATTTGAGCTGTTAATTTTATGGCTGCATTAAGTGGTGCCATCAAAGCACGTGGGGCTGTGGTTGATTGAATGATTGATTTTACACAGTTGTCTTCTCCCTGCACGGCTGAGGGCTTTTATTTGGGATTAACAAACCTCACCATTTCCCAATTCCACTTCACGGCTCCTCGGCTCCTTTTCAACTTCTCTACCTTACGTGCACTTTATGGGGCAAGAATCCTGCTTAACGAAATCCAAATAAAAATTCTAAAGTAAAATCAGAAAAAGCAGCAGCCTATAAGAGATCAGAGGCATACATACATTTTTAGGGCCTAACAAAAAAAACCCTACAAACCACATAAACCTTGAGGCATGAAACCCCAAATTCTTTGTCTCATTTTTAGTAAGAAGGCAACTTATTTTGGTAAATATTATAAAATTACAGACACCAGATCCAAATATATTGTTTTACATATATATATATATATATGTGTGTGTGTGTGTGTGTGTGTGTGTGTGTGTGTGTGTGTATGATCTGAAGTAGCTTGCTAAAACTAGAAGAGACAAGGTTCAAGAGCAACCAAAAAAATGTCACGTTTTTTTGTTAATCTATTGCTGATATAAAAAAAAGACCAAGGAAATTAAAACACACAACTAATTAGTAATGTGGTTTTTCAGGAGCAAATACCTAAAATCTGTGCTCATTCCAGGAGAATTCGACATTTTGGATTCTCTCTACCTAAAATGAGATAAAATTTTAAAATCTTTACATAACTGAGCTGCAGTGTTCCATTTAGATTATTGCCGGGATGATTGTTTTTTCAACACTCTTAATAAAAATAAAATAATTCAATATCAATTGCATTTTTAAAGACAAATCTGCTTTGATCCCAAAAAGTGATGGCAGGAAGACAAGGTCTGCCAAGTCCTGAACCTGCAGCAAAGAAGATGTGAGATCTTGGCAAAATGAAAGTACAGCAGAGAAGCAGCACTTAAAAAATCCTTAAAATTGGAGAGCCATAAAATGATAACCCCATAAAGAAGTGAAGGATTGGAGGGCTGCACAATCACCTGTTTGGAGTGTGCAGAAAGCAATCCCAAGTTTTATGGACATTAGAAAACTTTGTACTGCTCATCCAAAAATAAAGCTTGCTTGGAAAAAATCTGCTCCCAAGTCCTCGGAGAATTTAAGGGTAGAACAAGCTGCTATCTTGAACAAAGATAAATAAGACATTTTGTATTGCTTCTCAATTATTTCAGGCTGAGGATCACAATGTGGGAAAGAGAAAATGTCAAGCAGAGATAAAAGCAGAGCAGTCATTGATAGAGGAACATGGATTTCACCCCCAGGAGCTGCTGCCTTAATGCCCTGGGATCTGCCCCAGTCCTTGCAGATGTAAAGGAGTCACAGGTTTGGTCCTGACAGGGGGAAGGGACAGTGGCAAAGAGCATGGAGTGTCCCGAGGCTGGAGGGGGGCAGGGGGAGGCATCACTGCCTTTCCTGAGCACTGATGGGGCTGGAACATGGACAACCCTTGGGATGTCCAGCCCGGTGCTCCAGGAGCTGGGAGCCACCAGCCAGTTCACCCAAGGAACATCCAAACCCAAACCCACGAGGTCCAGACAGCGCTGAGCCTGCCCTGACACCCAACCTGAGCTCAGCATCCTCCCCAGGCTGGATCCAGGATGGACCCTGTCCCCCTGATGGTCCCGGGGACAGCAGGGCTGGGTTGGGCCAGCTGGGACACAAACGTGGCCTGAGGAGCTGCTGCAGGACCAGCAGCCAGCCCTGAGCAGGGAAAGGGGATGAAAGGGTGGATGCAGAGCTCAGGGAGCTCACTGCTCCTCACATCACGGAGCCAAGACCTTTTCTTGAGAGACAAAAAGAGGGAGGGAGATCAGTGGTGTGTTACAGCAGAGCTGCCTTCAGCTAATAGCTCAGCAATTTGGGTTCTGTTCTCTCTGCTGCTGGGCTCAAAATATCTCCTGTTTCCCAAAAGACAGCCCTGGCTGCCAGCCTGCAGGCTGTGCTGAAGCTGTTCCACTTTGGAGAGGACGACTAAAGATTTGTTGTGCCACCTAGAGTGAATTTATTTTACTTTTTTTTTTAATCATCGTCATCTGGCCCCTCAGAGCATTCACCCAGGAAAGAGGATACACGGGGTCCCAACCAGTGCTCCAGTGATTATTTAAGTATATTAAATGCTCATTAGGCAAAGTAAAATCAACAAATAATCACCAGGGCATGGGCTAGAGACGAGGAAGGAAATCAAATTATTAATTCAAAGGGGCATTTCTGAACAAGGTCTAAAGCTTCTGTGAGAGAAAGGCAGCAGCACTGATGAAGAGGAACAAAAAGGAAGCAGGAGATGTGAAAATTCCTATGACTAAAATAGGAAGGAGAAGACTTATGGAAAGAAATAAAAGGGAGAATGAGGAATCTGAGCGTGATGGAATGGGATGTATGGGATGCTGGGATGTATGGGATGTATGGGATGCTGGGATGCTGCTGCCTCCTCTCTCCTCCAGCATCCAAGCCCAAATGCACACTGTGCATCTTCTGACCCACAGAGAGAGTTCCCTCAGCTCCAGACAAAGCTCAGTGCTGCTAAGTTCTGGCAGTGCTAAGGCAGCAAGAGAGAGGTTATACACGAGCTTAGGCCGATCCAGTTCACCCAGCTTCTCACATCTGCTGGACTGATGGTTTGAAGGCAAGCTTGCGTTCCTGCAAGCCTTTTAAACCTCTTTTTTGTCTAATCTTGTTCACACAGAATCCACTTTATCTTCTGATTATACTCCTTAGCCTATAAAGACTCTGCACAAGTACAGTCCTACTAGTAAGGCATAATATTAACAGCATGCACAACCTTGCCCAGTACTGAACTGCTCCATCACAGTAATTACTGACACAAAAGTGCTTGATCTAGCTGAATAAAGTCCATGTACATTCACCAGGAACAGAAATCACAGCTGCTAAAAGTCAGATGCATAAAAGCAGCATTAGGGGAAAAAAATGCAGATTTGTGGAGAGAAAAAAAAAAAATCTATTGTTGCTGATTTACCCATGTACAAATCTATTTTTGCCTCTAAACTGAAAGAGGGTTTTGTTTGGTGACTGACACATATTTGAGTCACATCAGAAGGGAGAGAATAATCCCCACCTGCTGTCATATTGTTCTCCAGCTGATTGTCCTCTTGATCTGTAGTGCTCATATCACAGCAGGGAGCACACGAAAAGGGAGTTGGACAGGCAGGAGAGATGTGCTGGAGAGAACAGTCAAAAATGCACAGAATGGCCTAATCAGCAGAGAGAAAATCAGGCTGTTGGCAGGAGGGGGAAAGAAAAATGAAGCAAAAAAAACAAAAGAAGAAAAATTTTTTGGGTGAGACACAATAACCAGAACCCCACACTCATGGACACAGATCCTATGCCCCCCTTGCAACCCACACACCTCAATTTCTGTGAGCAGAACCATTCTCCAACAAAGCCCATGACAGCTCATGGTATAAGACAGCCCAAAAAATCCAGTTGTGACAAATAAAAAATATATTTAAGGCAGACTTTCCAAGCTCTTTATCCTGCTGTTTGGTAAGTCCTGTCCTGTTCCCAGGGAGTTCACAGCTGCCCCAGCACTCGGGGGTGGCAGATTTAAGTGCCTTTGTCCCCAAAGCAAAGAGCTGCCTTTGGGCCACGTTTTCACAGATTAGTTGTTTGTACAAGTGAATTGCTTTTCGAAATGCCCTGGTGCCTCTGGGATCCCCTGACACAGGAGTGTGAGCCCAGCTCTGTGCCAAGGCACTGCTGCAGCCCAGAGCCTCCAGCCCTGCTGCTGCCACACCCAGAGCATCAAAAACGCCGAGTTAAAAACCCAAAATGTAAAATTTATGCTCTGCCTGCCTGATTCGAGCTGTTTTGACGGAAGTCCAGGCTCCATCAGAATGTTTCATTCATCCCGAGGTCTTTAATGAGGAAGACTCATTAGCATGTAGTCAAACTCAGGTTTCCCCACCTCGGAGCACATCCCAACCTTCGCTGCTCTGTTACCTGTGCACAGCTTCTCATTAAATATGACATAGATTTGTTACGTTGCTGAGCTGGCTGTAAATTGAACTTGTCATAGTGAAGTGCATGTTTTCCACTTCTTCATCTCTTTGGTTCCTGTTGCTATAGTGACCATCAGAAATCAGAGCCTAAAAGGCAAAGAGAAAGGAGATTCTTTCTCTGTTTAAATAGCACCTTCCATCTCTAACTCCGGCAGATTCTCTCGTTTCAGCTTTACTTGTTAAGATAACCACACAAAAGAGCTGAGCTCCTCCAGCTTTCAGGGTCTCATCCAAATCTGCTGAGGCCAAAGGCAGCATTTTCAACGGCTTCAAGGAGCTCTAGATCATGCCTGTATTGCCTCAAAGACTAATTCAGTACAGATTTGCAGCACTTGGCAGCTCATTTTAGCTTAAACCCCTCAGTGCAGGAATATGCTGATGTCCTGCTACAGCAGTGACTGATGCCTTGAGGAGAATGGGTCATCCATCCATCCATCCATCCATCCATCCATCCATCCATCCATCCATCCATATGGAAGAGGTTTTACAGTGACTTCTGAGAGCCAGAGAGAAGTTTAAGAAGAGGATCCATGTTTACCCTTGAAAGAATTTTCTACCAAGGTCATTGACACAGAAACCAAGAAAGAAAGAAGGATAAATAAGAGAAACCTGCAACTGCCTGTTCCAGTGAGCATTTTGTTTGTCTCTCGTGACCAATGAGTAAACTTAAAAGAGTTTTGTAAGAATGTATAAAAAGCATGCATGCTATAATAAAAACAGGTTTGAAGCCTTCTGAAAATGGAATGTATTGCTTTGTATTGTGACCATTTCAATTATGATATATCCATCCACCATCCATCCATGGATCCATCCATCATCCACCACCCATCATCCATGGATCCATGGATCCATCCATCCATCCATGGATCCATTGATCCATCCATCCCTCCCATCCATCCCATGGACAAAGCCAGTGCTGACTCTACCTTGTTTTCACATGCCCTTTTCACCCCTTGAATTTATGTCCCACTTCTCTGTTTAAAAGACAGAGTAAGTGCTCTTTGACCGTGGGTATTAGTGCTAAGAGACAAAAAAAAAAAACAAAAAAAAAAAAAAAAAAAAAAAAAAACAAAAAACAACAAGATAAAATCATAACATTCCTGAGTCAGTAGGAAATGCTCCATCTAAACCAACATCTGGCAGTCTTAAAGTCTGTGTTTTAATGCTTTGGGATACAAAATCATAGGCACAAATTCCCTTGCTGATGAGCCCTCCACTTCCCCACATCCCACCTGCAATAAATGCAAGCTGTCAACATCACACCCTGCAATTTACTCACACTTGCAGTTTATGGAAATATTAAAAATGAAATGCCAAACAGATGTTCAACAGACCTGCTATGATAAGAAAACCAATTAGAAGTTATGAAACTAATGTCTTCTTAAAGGGAGGAAATGCAAAGTGCTTGAAATTCAATAAGTAAAAAATGTGGAAATTAAAAGTTGTAACTTTAAAAAAATTGGTGAGAATCACAGGATTCTGCAGGGAAACACCCAATTTCTTGTCTGACAGCAGGTGGCAGCAGGATTCCCACCACAAATTCCAGATTTAGAATGACATCCCCTGGATCATATTTGAACATTCATCTATGCCCTAAGGTTGTTTGGTGAGTGAGCTGACAGAAATAAACCTGGGCTGAGCACATCTGAATTTTCACAGCTGCAATCCACTTAGCTGCCAATGGAAGTTCACAGAGCAGGAGCTGAAAGTATTTGGTGTTTAACAATTATTAGTAACATCATCTTTTACCCATTAGAAGCCCAGAATTTGCATCAAACATTCAAAAGTCTCTGTTGCTGTTACATCACAGCACTCAGGGTGCATGGGCCTGAGAAACCTGGGAATTTAGAGGTGAAATATTTCCATCAAGTATCACAAAAACGTTGGTAGGAATTCCTAGAAAATACATGAAACCGCATTCTTTAAACCTGAACCCAGAGCTATTTCAGGAAATCCTTTGGAAAAGGGATGCACAGAGAACTGAGATGTCTCTGACAAAGCATCACGTGCTGGTCAGACTGGCTCCCACTAAAGCCTTATTGAATTTAGGGCTGCTGAGAAAAAGCAGGGAAAAATTATTATTGATGATACAAGGCTTTGAAACATTTAAAGGAAACCTTACTCTTATTTATTCCACGATGTTACCCATGGAGCAAGACAGACATAACTGAGAGAGCTTCTTATTGATCTGTTAACTGAAATGCAATTAAAGAAAACATGCTTTAAGATATTGTGGAGGTAGGTTTATTTTATTATTTTATTTTCATTTTTGTACTTAGTCTGTTTCTTAGGCTTATCCTTCAAAGCTGCTCGAAATAGGGAGGAATTGTAGCACTAGTGGGAGCACTAATGGATGGAGCAACAGGAGTTAAAGGGCAATAAAGACAGAAAAAGAGGGTTGGCAACCACAGCCAGGACATCCAACAGTGGCACAGCTGACCAAAGGTTGCAAGAGACCCCAAATAATGACCCAAAGCCAAATGAGGCCAAGGTTTGAATGAAACCCATGAAGAATAGAAAGTCTGAGGAGCAGAAGGCCAGAGAGAACCGGCCCCCACCAGCTTTGACATAAAATATTTGAAATTACTTAAACCTGTGAAGGATTTTGTTTTTTTCATAAATATTATTTGCAGACTTAAATAAAAGAATTCTACCAAGGTAAGAGGCAATTCCCTCCCCTGTCCCTCTGCTTTTAAAGGATGAGATCCAAGTCATGAATATTACAGTGACTAAGAGATTCATTTACACAGTTTTACTGCTTTGGACAAAACACAGCCACTTTCCAAGCCCGATGAAATATTGTTATCCACATAATTCATTTTGTGCAGCTTCAGCAAGGCATTTGGATTTGTGGCTGCTCCCATTTGAGGGTGAAATTGAATTGGAAATTCATGTGCGTGGCACGTGGATGAAGCAAGTCTGAGGATCAGGAAAGCATCAATTAAATTCCCCTCCAGCCCGAAATAAAATCCCAGTGGGGAGGCCTTGGAGAGGATCCCCATTGCTGTGACAAGTGAGGACAATGAAAGAGCTCGAGCCAGAGGTGAACACAAGCTCATTTCGAGGGATGACAATGAAATTTAGATTTGTTTTATTAATAGTGTGAGTGCTGATTGCTGTGCGCAGTAATGGGAGGCAGCAGAGCAATTTATGCTTTAGGCTTTGATAACATGGACTTATTAAGGATGTTATTGATTAGAGGGAAATTAGCAACTGGCTGATTAACTCATCCCTCATCTTCCCTTTCCTGTTGCAGCAAAGACCATGGAAGCACTATCGGGTTGCTGGTTCTAAGTTCTGACTCTGACTTTCAATATATTTGGATTTTTTTGGACATTTTCAGAAGCTTTGTTTGAGCAAACGTCCAGGTGCACCCATTTTTTCTGGAACGTGCTATCCCACCTACTCCTTACACAAATGCACACTGGAAAGTTGCTGGGAACAATTAGAAAAACCCAAAAGAATCCCACAGGCTGTTCTCATAAAATTGTGAGTGAAACAGGCATCATGAGTGAAACAGGCACCCCAAATTCAAAGTTTCTCATCTATTCCACAAGAATTATTTCATCCCCATTCCAGCACTACCTGTAGCAATACTGATTAAGGAAGTACTTAAGGAAATAATTCAGAACACAGCTAAGATGCAGATCTGGAAAATATCAGATTAAATGAGGAGGATGATGTGGGGCTCAGGTTTCCAGCAAAGTTTCCATACACTGGCTGTGACAACAGCTTCATTTGAGCTCAGGGTTCACTTTGCCATAAATAAAATCCCACAGAGGGACAGGGCTGGTGATGCCCCATCCCTGGAAGTGTCCAAGGCAAGGCTGGATGGGATTTGGAGCGAGTGGGACAGTGGAAGGTGTCCGTGCCCATGGCAGGGGTGGCACTGGATGGGCTTTAAGGTCCCTCCCAGCCCAAAATTTCTGGGATTCTGTGAAATGACCGTGTCCATCCATCCCCTCCCAAATGTTTGGAAAGAAAGAGAGGAAGGATGAAGCATGATGAGGACTGGAATCACCATATTCAGGGTTATTCTATTCAGCAAATACAGTACATCTGGAAGCCTAAAAATAGCTTAAAATCACATTCCCTCCCTCTGTGATCCCCAGGCAATTCTTCTGAGAGCCAAACCTCTAGGTCAGGAATGGCATTTCTCACCAATTGACCCAGGAACTACACGGCAGCTGGGCTGAAAATAAAAATGCTTCAAATCAGTCACTCTTGTAGGAGATGCACAAATCCAAGGATAAGACTAGCAGCAGCCAGATGGATGAAAAATTACACTTGTAAAAAAAGCAGAACAGGACAACCAAAAACTCCCTGGCAGAATATTTTTTTTTGGTTGTTGTTGTTGGGTAATTCTGACTAATCAAAACAGAAGTACCAGAAATCTGTCAGGATTCACATCTTGTTTAAAAACTGCAAAGAGCCATTTACTGGTGCTGGAACACAACATTTCAACACATCTGAAACAGAGTGCTGCAATTTTCCAATCTGAAAATATATTCTTGAGATTTTTACAACACTCTGGGATAATATCAGCTAAAGAGGCTACACTGGGAAAAACATTACAAGTTCATGCATCTTCAGTGGTCTGAAATGAAGGTAGAGCTTGAAGATAATTTGTTCTCCGGGAGGAAAATGGGGTTATTGTAGGGGAAAACCATGCAAAGTTATAGCTTTTCACATCTTTTTGAATAGCCAATTTCCACCCAGCACTTCTCAGGTATGGGTAGGGATGCAAACACTCACAGAAAGGAGATGCCCTGAGCAAGAACAAAATATGTTGTCAAAAATCTTTTTTTCTTATTTGCATTAATGCCTTGAGCAAGCAAAGCATCTCTTCATAGAAATATGGAATTCCCGATGTCGGAATGGACTTTAATGATCATCCAATTCCAGCCCCCCATGCTGCCCAGCCAACCTGGCCTTGGATGGAACCAGCTCCCTCCCGTAGGACAAGCAGGGACATTCAGATTTCCTGGCATTTGGCTGCATGGCTGGAAAAAGGATAAATGTGCTGAAATTAAAGACTGCATCACGAGAAGGAACAGAGTCACAGGACAACCTAAACAGCACCAACCCAATATCAAAACTTGTTATAAGCATCAAGCTTCTCTGCCTGAAAAAGGGCTGAAATCCTTGCTCTAAAGGAGCTTATATAATTTGGAGTTACATCCACAGCTCTACCTATTTTTATCTCAAAGGTGCAGGCTTGTTCACAACGAGGAACTTTCTGCAAAATTCTCCATTTGTTGCTTTAACTTGACAATAAATGCTGATTCCTCTCCCCCTCTCAGCACACACAGAGTTAGATAATGTCTGTCACACGCCCTGTTTCCAGCTTCTTTTCCTTTATTTTATTACAAGCACCACAAATTCCAAACACTGAAGTGTTCTCCCCTTCAGATTAACTCTGTACCTGAGCCATGCCTGCTCAGTAGGAAAATCTCAGCTTTCCAGCCCCACAACCCTTGGCAATATAAATCCTGCAGGATCATTTTGAGGTAAGTTAATTACAGACTTGAATTTTAAATGCCTGCTTCATGTTCTTCTCCTTTGAGTCAATAATTCCTGCGGACTGCACATCATCCTGTCACACAGCCAGGCTGCTGGATAAAAACTCCTGTTTGCTGGAAACCTTTTGGCATTCCCTGCCAGTGGTTTAATACTTGAATATTCCTGTTAATTTGCACATTCTGACCTGCAGCAATGGAGATATTTGATCACTCCAGAGGCAGCTCTTGTGTAAAGAGTGTTTTTTGCTCTGCTTTAACATATGCTAATAATGATATCTGTGCTGGCGCTTCCTCGAGAGTTTTTAAGGAAAAAAGTCGGACTCATCATCAGTTTTTCCACACCTGGGACATGCAGACATAGGCACAGGACTTTTCCAGCTGTATTTACACTCAAACAAGGCCCCTAGGATCAGGGATGTGTTTTTTTTAATTTTAATTCCCTCCAATCACACTGAATTTTGCAATAGGAGAATAAAGATACAAACACAGTGCATTACCCATATTTAAAGGACTTGGAAATTTAAGTCTGTACTGTATTGTGGGGGGAAAAACTTGCTGGTTTTCCCCATGATTGCTCCAATTACTGCTTTCTATGTGAAAGCAAAAATATCTTTAAAATATTGCAAAAACTCTGCATAATAGATCCAAAAGGAGGTGCGATTGAAATCAGTATTCACCACAAATTTTAAGATAAAAAAAACCTATGCCCTCAAAGGATCTGAGTGCAAAAATTCCCAATTCCATGGTTGCAAGTGTTGACTCCTTATTCTCAGGGCTCCTGCCCTTGCATGCAGTTGGTATTTATTTTGTGAAATAATATTCATAGAAAATAAGAAGTTCTTTCCTTTTTAAACCTTCTAGCAGCACTTCCAGTTTCTCTCCAACCTTTAACACACTTGTAAATAATATATTTAGCAAAAAAAAACTCCCCACATTTTTAGTGGGGGTGTACAGCAAGGAACTAAACAACAGGAATATTTTCTTTTTTTTGGAATTCACAACATGGGCACTCAACCAAGTGATGGAGGAAAAGTTAAATAACTTTCCCAGAAAAACGTGGACTCAGTCACCATGGAAGGCAAAATGAGCAAAGTTTTTGAAGGCCGCCAAGCAAATAGGTAGACATTTACATATTAATTTATGTATATATTTTTATTTTTTAAAAAAGACAACAAAGCCTAGGGAACGTGGCTAGATCACCATGGGCAATAATATATCAAAAACTGACAGAAGGAAGATAAAATACCTGGCCCAGAGCTAAGCTGTGCTTAAGGACCTTTCTTCCCCCTGCCACAGTGTCACATTAGACATCTGAAAAAACACATTTTGTCACCAAACTGCAGAGATTTCCCTAATGCTGCCACCTGTAAATGTCTGTGCAGGGCAAAGAGAAATGGAGCTGCTTCAGTGTCGAAGACAGGAGTGGCTCCGTGTGGTGGAAAAGTCTCTCCTCCAGCCCGAGCTGCCAAAGAAAGGCTCAGCAGTCTCTGCTGTCCGGTCTCAAGGCAGTTTATTGCAAGTTATCTAAAAGATTTTCTTCTGGAGCTGCTGTGGTTTGCTCACAGCTCAGGCAGAGGCACACACACACCCTGACATCCTCTCTGACTCCCGACTGCTTCTTCTCTCCCCCTCTGCCCAGGGCTGCTGCTGGCTTTTATATGGTACATTACGTGTTACATGGGTACAGTTTGTCCCCAGTGCCTATTACCTATATTAAATGGTGCTTTTCTATCTTTTATATGGTACATTACATGTTACATGGGTACAGTTTGTCCCCAGTGCCCATTACCTATATTAAATGGTGCTTTTCTATCTTTTATATGGTACATTACGTGTTACATGGGTACAGTTTTCCCCAATGCCTATTACCTATATTAAATGGTGCCTTTCTACTCTAAACCAATCTGGGAGTGCCAACATCACCAAGAACATGGAGGTGAGGAAGGAGAAAGAGGGAGGACAGGGCAGGCCCAAATCCCTCCATCTTAAACCTCTGACTCCCATGTACAAAACCAAAACCCCC